ATATGAAGCTCTTATTTTGAAAAAGCATTTTTGAGCTTCAATCCTGATGTGAATATTTGCTTATTTGCTTCTGAATTCAACAGCAAACAAACCAAACCCCCTGTTCTTTAGAGCTCTTCTTACAACACAAATAACCCCATCCCCAGTGCTGTAGTCTGTCAACTTTACTGTGATGGCAATAAAGCAGTACAACGTGTTCTTAATCTCAGGGCTTTGGATGGGTACAGTCAATAAAAATCATTTCCAGAGGGAAAAAGTCACACAATGGATGTGTTTTGAGAAGGTTTTGCTTTAAAGGCTGTGTGACCCAATGCATTCTAATCCAAGCCTATTCACATTCAGAGGAGGATGAATTCAGCCAGCTCTTTATCAATTTGCCTCTTCCAATTAACAGCCTCAATATTTGAGTATAAACATGCTGGAAAGATTCTCATCAAATCAGCTCCAGATTAAACACTTCACGTGGACACTGCCATGGCTTACAAGTTACAGCAATCCTGTTAATGACAAGAAAACAAAAGGCACCAAGGAAATACCTACTCTTCCCCTCAAACAAAAGCGTCTGCACCAGGAGCTGGGAGAAGCATTCAGGCTGTTATTCTAGGCCAACACAGTAAGAGATAAAAGAAAAGAACAGAGGAAGTATAAAAAAAAATTAAAAATTAAATGTTAGGCTAAATGAAAGAAAAGGTAATCGAATTTGATTAAATGATAATTAAGTGCAGTAAAATTTTTAAGTATTACTCAAACCCAGAGGTTCACAAGGATCTGTCCTTGGGTAAACCATGTTTTTATGATGGTTTTTCTCCTGGTGTACAAGAAAGTCTCTGCTACTTTCTTTCTGCATTGCTTTGGGGCCTTTTAAAAGCCTTTAGGACATAAGAACTATTTTTATGATAATGCAAAGAGCCAGAATAGAAAGTATTTCTGTCTTTACTGCTCTGCATGAAGAAAAAAGAAACCAATGTCTCCTTCAAGACTCATCACTCTACCAGGGTCAGTAATTCAGATTTTCTTGAGTGCTTCACTGTGGTTTGTGCCATCAGAGATTGTCAGCCAGGCCCCTGAAGCAGCAGAAAGGGCTGGGAGCCAAAGAAACCCAAAGAGAAAGGGAGGACAGCTGCCCCCATCCATAAACCCAGCTGACACAAAGCCTCTGACCAAAAATGCTTCCTGGGGCTGCAGGGCACTTTTGTTCTGCTGCCAAGGGCCAGAGGAGCTCCCTAACTCACTTCAGAGCATCTTCACACTTCACACAAGTCCATCAATCAGCAGCTGAAGATGCAGGTGAACTCAGCAAAGGCTTTTGCTTGGCCTCCAGATTTTTTTAAATTATCCAGAGGCAAAAGCAACAAGCAGTGCTTGCTCTCTCTCCCAAGTCCTGCAGCTCAGCACTTTCTCCTGCCAGCTTTTCTGCACACCAGTTTGTTAAGGCTACCACAAAACAAAATTAAAGAAACCCAACCACTTTAGGCCTGATTTCCAAGAGTTGCCCCTCACTGCCTGTCTAAGGTAGGAAATATAAGAAAAAGGTGCTTGAAGGCAAGAACAGCAGAAATAGTCTCAGAGCTGGCTTCAGCCCCCAGGCCCAGAACTGTCATTAATTCCATACAGGTATAACACAAAACAGATCACCAGGAAGCTCTGACCTGAGCATTCCAAGTCCAGGAACTACACCTAGACTTAGGGCACCTTCAGTCTGATTTAAAATTAACAACAGACCCCCACAACCCAGATTTTAAATTTGGAAGAACATTTTTAGACATGCCTAAAAAGCATTTCTTCACAAAACTGAGCTTAATTGTTCAGTTCCACCCCATCTTTATACACCCCCTGAATTTACCAATTACTCCAGCAAAGTTGATAGACTGCAAGAATTAATTATTAACCTCTTATGCAAATGTGTCTCCTGAAGTGTTCAGCACTCAGCCAGCTGAGGCAAACAGTGAGGAAATGGGAGGAAGGCAGGAAGGAGGAGCCTCCAGTGTCTGGGAACGGGCAGGGACACTCGGGCTGAGCTCTGTGCTCTGGCCCAGCCTTACCTCGATGATCCGGCTGTCCACAGGCATCGTGGTGCTGACCATGTGCACGTTTGGGGTGGAGGTGGAGCGCTGTCTCTGGGACAGAGAGCCCTCAGAGGAAGGGTTGGATGGGTTGAAAGTGAAGGCATGAGGTGTAGAATACCTGTGCTGGGAGCTGAGAAGGAAAGAGAGACAAAGGGAGAGTTGTGGTTACTTTTTTTCCCCCTCTGGCAAGGGAAAAACACTGTTCAATGTAACCTGTCCAAAAGCAATATACACAAAATTCCAAGCAGAGAAAAAGCTGAGATTCACACATCAACTAAACTACTTGGTCAGCTGAATCATTCCCAATTTAATTTAAGAAATAAATTTGAAAAACTTGAAGATCTTGTCAGCTCACATATTTAATTAGCGTGTTTAGCTGAGGTCTGTTTTTGCTGTTACAAATTTTGCCACAGTTCACCTCTATCCCCATCAAATCACATTTAATACACTGACAAAATACTGGCTCTGAGAGATGAATTCAGGACTGTGAAATTAAACAAACTGCTCATTTCAAGCCTGTCAAATGCACAGCTTAAGAGCTAAGCCCTGAATTTGTAAAGCTTTGCAAGACTGTTCAATGGTTTGCACAGAACAGCCAGCAAGGAAGTCATGAAACCCAACACCAGTTAAAAAGGAGGCCAAGACTAAAATCCAGCTCAACAAAGAGTTATAAATCACAGCTAAGGCCACTCAGACCATAAGGATCCCAAAACACAAATGTATCTTAACTGAAATGGGCCAGCCTTCACAAAACCCTTCAAAACATCTATGAAGTTAATAAGTCACTGTTCAACAACACTGGAAATAAGAGTAAGATGGCAAAGATCAATTCCTGATGCAGTTCCCATTAAAATAAAGAAATAAATACATAGAACCATTTACAAGTCAGCTACGTGCTCTGTGCCTCATTTCTGACAGATTTTTCAAATGGGTGCAGAAAAAACAAAAGCTGGCCTGCTCTCTTCAGCCTCTAGAATTTCAAGGGAAAGAATACAGGCACATGTTAGGGTCAGGGGACAGGCCCCTTGGAAAGGGACACAGGTTTCACTTCAGCACTTAAAACTACAGGAATGTTCTCTTTAGGTATTAGAATTTTTTTTTAGAGGAGCATATTTTCAGTTCCCACTCTTCTCTTTTAAACTCCTATCTGTCATCATAATATCAGAGCATCATTTTAGTTATGGATGTGAATCATCCACCATGAGACTCAATGCACACTACCTGATCAGATAGAATAAAATTAATTCACAAAAATACCAAAAGGGAGCCTTGGATTTTTTCAGGCAGGTAAACAAAGGTCTCCAAAAAGCCTTTAATAGTCTACCTTAAAATTTTAAGGCTAAAAATTGAAAATATAAAATCTCAAATGAATGCTTTGGTGGATCTAAGAAAAAGAAAGAATAGTCTGTGATGAAGTGGTGTTGCTACCTTGCACATCCATCCCAACCTTGTATCAGATTGCTCTGCTTTGGAGGAGCTGGGGCTCTTTAGTTGCTTTGGATTGATTGTTTTGAGAGAAGTGTATTTCCCAGAAGAGAGGTGACAGGAAATACAAGCTTACCTAACAGGTATCCGGGAGACAGACTCCCGCATCCGTCTCATTGTCAAGGGAGGTAGTGCAGGGACACCACTGTCACTGATATTTGAATTTGGGAACAATCTGAAATATCAACAAAAACAATTACAATTTCAACTGCTACACTACCTCCTGTACAATGCTCTTGAAAGCTGACATTTTAAAGGGCTGGTTCTTTGCAGCATGATTAACGTCATGAACACATTCCTATCTTTACATCATGGTATTCCTCTGTGTGTACAACTAAAACCTCTGCCTTCAGACTCCCAAAGAAATGTTCCACAAGTTCTTTCAAAACTTCAGAGACAAAATTTTTTTCATATCAGACTCCAGATTTTCCTGAAAGGGTACTTGACACAGTTAAGTTCTATTAAAGCCAGGTAACACCAAGTGGCACGAGTCATCCTGCACTATGAGAAAACACAGAACTACATGAGCACGTTATAAAAAGATACAACCACTAAGACACATCAAAACAATTACAGGCTTTTAACACTTTTGCATAAAAGGACTTCTAACAATCGTTTTCAACTTTTTGTAAGTGGCATTAGTAAAGTACTATCCTCCATCTGTTTTCTCACCATTCACTGTCAGAAGTTGAAGTGTTAGAACACGAATGTTTCCAACAGCTAAAATCCAACTGAACGCTGGCCTGGTTTACTCCTGACATGTGTTGTGTGAGAGGAATTGCTGTCCCCCAGTTCAAAAAGAGGGCACTGGAGCAACTGCCTGGTCATTCAAGGTGTTTGTTTTCTTGTCCCAGAATGTGAAAATCCAGAGCAAGAACAAAATGCAGTTGATGTGCACGGCCTTTTCCCCTGGGAACAGACATTCATTGCTGGCTGTTCCATGAGATCACTCCACAATTCTGCACACTGATCACAGGGACTGCCTTCCCCACAACCCCTCTGTGATCAGAGCCACAGAACCAGAAGAGCTGCTGCCATGAGAAAGGAGCAGTCCTTACAAGAGCTGCCTGATGTTGCTCCAGTCCACACACATGGTTGGCACCTTGGTGCTGCAGTGCTCGTGGAATTTGTAGCCACACGTCTGACACCGGAAGCCATTGAGCAGGAACTTCTGGCAGATGTCACAGAAGGCAAGCTTCAGAAATGTCTTCCGAGCCTGGAAAACACAGCAAGTGACTCATCCCTGCTCATTAGCTCTTCATTAACCGACATTTGGATCTTCAGAGCCCGACAGAAATCAATAACCATGCTAAAATGCTATCAGAGCCCTCAGGTTGCTACTGAGATTAAAACCACACTCAAATAATCTAGCATGGGTTTCTAGTTTGAAAGTTTAGGAACACTGAAGGCTTTATTTACAAGAAAAAAGAACCACACAAGGAAAAAAAACTGACAATTGTTCTGTCAAATGTAAAAGCAATTTTTTTGCTCAGCAAGGTGACAGAGCTGTGTTAGCCAAGAGCTGGGGCTTTTGTTTGCTTTCAGTAGCACCAAAGAGGTGAAAGAGGATCAGACTGCAAGGCCCACCTCATTTTTTTATTAGTCAAAACTCTTGGTGTTTATAACTAACCAATAATATCCTTTGCCTAAGAAATAAATTCCTTAGTAATCAAAATAATCTAAAGAATTTCTGCTTTTTCAAATGGCAGCCTACTTTGTTTTTTTAAAAGCTTCTGAAGTATGAAAAAAATATTAAAGTGAACCAAAGGGTTTCCTCCTCCAGAACCTACTGGGAAGGCCCCAAATTTCAGCTTCTTCCAGATCTGGAGAAAAACATTCCTTTTCTGCTGACCAACTGCAGATGATACTTTCTGTAGTTTTTTTTAATGTAAAGTAAAAGTAAGGAGACTTTCAGGTTTTGTAAACCAATCCTAACCTTTCTAATGGATGTAAATAACAATCCTTTAAGATTTAGGATTGCCACAATGTAGTTCTAGAAAAAAATGAGAAAAAAGCTAAAATATGGGAACAGAGTTCCTTCCCAGGGAGAAGACAGCAATGCAAGTTAAAATTGTTACAGCTGGGCATTATCTCTTTGCAAAAAAAAAAAAGCATTTTAAATAATTTTTAAAAATTAAAAAACCCACAAAGCACAAAACCACCTTCTACTTATTTGTTTTGTATGGAATAAATAATCCATTTTTGAGAAGGAACTACAAAGTAAAGCCTTTCATTCCCCCACAGAACAGTGTCAAATTACAATCAGCTCACAAAATGTCATGACCTGCAGAATTAACAGCAGCCCTGAATATCCAGGACAAATAATAAATATTGGACCATCAGTCCAATAACGCAGCTGAACTCATCCAGCCTTTTTTGACTGATGAGCCAGAGACTGAAAATGCTAATTTTCTCCCTTTTCTGGACTTTTTTAAGACATGGGTATCTCACCACAATAGTTCCAGACATAGGTATTTACATGAAATAAAAATGGCAATCATCAGACCTGTGAAGAATGTGAGCTTTGACAGTCTCTGGCACCTGGGGATCACCAGTGTAATAAATACAATTCTTGCATTTCACTGCAAATTGATACTTAGGGAATGTAATTTGTGGGGAACAGGGGTGAAGGAATCAACCACAACTTCTGAAAATCCTTGTGCCCAGAAAGCCAAAAGCTGTTTAATGGCCAAAACAATCTGTGGTTCAATTGTTACATTTCACACCAGAACACAGAGCAGGAGAAGCTTACAAAGTTGTGTGTGGTGAGTGGGACATGGTCAAGGAAATCCACTCGCAGCTCCTCTCCAATCAGGGAGGCAGCATCTGTGTTCCAATCCAAACGCACTTTCTTTCTGAAGGAGAAAATGGGGACAACAAAATCACTTTGAAGAGAACTCTGGCCTCGTCAGCAATTATGCTTTGTGAGTTTTCTTGAGTAAACTGAAAACAAATACCCAAGAAAGCAGGGCTAACCACTCACAGTGGGCTAGATAGATCTGTGTCCTTCACTCAAAAAATCAGAAGCAACTTGGAATACATTGCAAGTCACCTCTTTTTCTGCTCATTTTTAATGTTTTTTATTTATAAAATATTTGACAGAAAGCACCTGGAACCTTCAATAGAATCACAGAAACACCCTTGTAAATAAAACAGAAATCATGAATGACAGACTCAGTGACACAAAAACCATTATGAGGTGCCTGGGCACTGACTGGTGACCCCAGAATGGCCTCAGCTGCTCAGAGATGTAACCCCACAAATGCCTGAGGCTGCAGGGAGCTTTAAGCCCAAGCCTTAGGAGGTGTGAAATTAAGTGCATCAGCTCCATGAGATACCTTCACTGCCTCAGCTTGTAAAACGACCATTTGGTATTTAATAGCAGCATCCTACAGAAAAATAAGGACTATGTGAAGTGGGATTGAAACCCAAACATTCAGAAGTTGTAGAAGGATGCAAAGCTTAAGCACTGAGGACACAGAACGGTTCAGGGGAGTGGGCTAAGAATCACTGACACTGAATTTAACAACAACTGCAAAGACAGCACAGAAATGCACCTCAAATATGAAGGAAGGCATCACTTCATCTAGAGCATGACAAAACCCTCACTAAGGGGCTGCAAGCACTGGAGTGAACCTCTCCTTTTTAAGGATTTTCATTGTTTAGCTTTAAAACAAAAATGAAATTGCCAATACACAGGAAGCTGACAGAGTTACCCTAGAAGAGAGCAAAGAAAGCAACACAAATTATTCACAACCAAACTGCTTTTAAAAGAAATTACCTAGAAGAGAAGGAAACACGACTGCTGCTATTCCAAACCCAAGATTTTTACATTCTCTGGGAGGAAGTTTCACTCTTACCCTTTTGGTTCAGCAAGAAGTCGGAAAACTGCGCAGCATTCTGGCTGCAGCCCTCTGACCTTCAGGGCCTTCATGAGACAGTCGTGCAGGGTCATCCCATTCCTCACATTCACCTGTCACCAAAGGGAAAAAAACAACAAAACATTTAGGCACTGACTGCACAGTTTCTTTAAGCTTTTCCAAGAGTGGAAGATCATTTTCTAATTTTCTTAGAAATTCCAGGAAAACTGCACTTGTGTGCAAAGGATGTTCTGAAGCCATTTTATAACCTCTCCGTTTCTCACAATGGCTGAGTTTCTATGAAGCAGGATTTTACACAAGTAGGCAGCCTATAGAAATAACAGAAATGCAGGCAAATGGAGTTCCCTCAAGTACAGAAAAAGGCTTCATTTAGACTTCAGGGAACTTTGGGTAAGACTATTATTAGGTACACTCAGCTTCAAGAAACTGAACAGAAGTGTTCCCTCAAGAAATTTCACTTCTGCTTTAACCCCCACACTTCATTGTGGGCAACCAAGTGAGGAAAATGACAGAAGTGTCATGCAGGCATCATTGTCTAGGTCAGCCAACAATGACTTTTAATGTGGAATATGCTCATGTACATTAGAAAATTCACAGCACTGAGGCAGAGCAACACAGCCTCTCAAAATACAGACAGAGCACATGCTTAAAATAAAATATATCCTCCAAAACCATGCAAGTGCTGAGCATCACTGAAGCACAGAGAGTGATGTGGAAGGCAGGCAGCTGTGGTGGCAGCTGCACATGCACAGTCGCAGCAGTGGGAGCAGGAGACGGCACACACTCACCACGGTGCGCTGCTTGTTGGGCAGGAACACGCGGATGGTGTTGCTGGTTTTGGACGTGTCGGAGATTTTGCCGTCGTCGGAGGCGCGGCGCTGGTACCCAAACTGCTGCACTATGGTCGGGGAGATGCAGTTGGGGCCATCAAACACAGAATCCTTGAGGCCAAACCCATTGCTGATGGTCTTCCAGGCTCCCTGGATGTGCTCCATTGGTGCAGCCTAGGGAAGATGGGCAGAGTCAGGGGAATGGCCGCGTCCTTCACTCTGCACTGGGGCTTTCCCCTCCTGGCACAAGCTCAGCCCCTTCTGGAAGCACCTGAGGCTGCAGTGCCTTGGGATGAGATCAACCTGCATGTGCAGGGTACAGCTCACCACGGCTGCACAAACGGCCTGGCTCCTGAAGGCACTGGAGTGACAGATGAGTAACTCCTGCCACTGCACCTCAGGCTCACAGGAGCACTTCACCATCAGCTTAATCTACATCTGAGTGTCTGAGGGGCCTTCAGAAAGGTGGCCACATTATAGAATCAGAATATCCTGGACTGGATCATCAGTCCAGACACCCCAACAATCCCACCCTGAGCATCCCTGGAGTGTTCCTGGGGCTCTGCAGCCTCGGGGCTGTGTCCATTCTCTGGGGAGCCTGGGCAGTGCCAGCCCCCTCTGGGGTAGAACCTTGCCCCGAGACCCAACCTGAGCCTCCCCTGGTCACAAGGGTAGAGCTAAAACAGTCCTGCAAAACAGATATGCCATACAAGCATTAGCCCAGACTGTTAAGAAAAGAGACTCAACAGGAATTACAATTTAAAGAATTTAATTAAGGAATTCATTTTTATAACTGATTTTGAGGCTTTGATTATTTGGGATTTTTTTAATATTATCACAATTTACACAGTGTGAAACAGCAAAAAAAAAATGTCTCAACCCTCACACCCACTATGCTCAGTTATATTTCAGCATAAATAAAGCCTGGGAGAACTTGGATTGTTCAGTCTGGAAAACAGAAGGCTCCAGGGTGACCCAACTGAAACCCTCCAGTACCTGAAGGGAGCCAACAAGAAAGATGGAGAGGGATTATTTACAATTGAAAGGACACAAGGAATGGCTTCAAACTAACAGAGAGCAGCTTTAAATGGGATATTGGGAAGGAATTGTTCACAGGGTGCCCAGAGCAGCTGATCCCTGGCAGTGCCCAAGGCCAGGTTGGACACTGGGGCTGGAGCAGCCTGGGACAGAGGGAGGTGTCCCTGCCATGGCAGGGGTGACACTGGATGGGCTTTAGGTCCCTTTTAACACAAATCATTTTATGATTTTACAAACATCTTCCAGTGCAAGGACACCAACAACCCCCTCCCCTGAACACTTCCAAACCAGCACACGTTTCTGCACATGCAAGGACAAAGATGAAGGTGGCACTGGATTTTTCCCCAGCTATCCCAACTGCAATGCAGCTTGAACCCCTAACTACACTCAAACATCTTCTTCAAAATTAGGCAAAACCAAAGTCTGTACTGAAATCAAACAACTTATTCAGAACACCCAACACTCCATGACTGAACACCTGTCAGCAGCTGCTCCAGTCTCATTTCATGTGTGGTCCTGCACCTCCTGTGTTGAAAATTATTTGAAGCCTCCAATACATTTCCTCATGTTTATGTCAGAGAAAAGCCAACAGTGTTTGTTTCACTTCAAAAGTTAAAACAAAGAAATTCTTGGATAAAAAAAGATCTCCACTAATGTTAAGTGTCCATTCTGGGGTGCCCAGAAGGATAAGCTGAATTTCAGAGTGTTTTCCTTCACAGCACAGCTCTGAAAGTAACTTTGGTCCAGACCTAAACCCAGGTCTGACCAGCAGCCAGAAAGGAAATGTAACAACAAAGTTCCAGAGAAAGGTTTGGTTTAGGTGAAGTCATTACCACCACATGCAAAGCCCAGAGCAGCAGAATCCTCCCTCAGCCTCAAAGGGAACTTTCAGTCAGTTCCTGAATATCTCCTTCACTGACAAGGTACACAGTGACAACAGATCCTCACCTTCCCTCCTGCCAGCCCCTGTCATTCCTCCATCCACCCTCTCTGCAGGTCCAGCTGTCCAAAGGCTCAAAATATTTAAATGTCAGCAAGATTTAAACTCCACGCCCAATCATCTAACAGGATTGAGACACTCCGATTTTTTAAAATTTTCAAATCTATGGCACCTGAATGACCAGAGTTTTCTATTTGATGTAAAAAGGGAATAAGGAATAGGAAGACACAGACATTTTGAAAAATGAGAGAGAAAATTGAGGAATACAACCAAGCACCTGCAACATCTCACAATTCCTATGCACCAGAAAGGTGAAAAACAAGTTATGTTCAGTTACAACACCCATATAAATGTACATGGCAGCTGAAAGAGTAACTACTGAGATAGCAGCAAGAAAAACTGAGATAAACTGTTAGATAAGAGGGGAAAGACAAAACCCAGAGAGCTTCTCTTTAACTTATCCCCTGTGGGAAACTCCTTTGTCTCAACCCTTCCACGTAACAGATGAGACTAAACAATAAGAGGAGCTTAGCTTGATTCTTCTGCTGAGCTGAGCTAAGGAATAGCAGGAGAGCCATCAAAACCTCCTTGTCCCTGCTGATATAAGCTGACAACACCCCAACATTACAGCCTTTCTATTTAATATTTTTATATGCTGCCAACATTTCCTGAAAAACTCCAGAAAAAGCAGGAAATGACAAAGAATTCAGACTTGCATTTTGACAAAAGATAAGCTTCATACCCACAAAGTGACTTCCCTGTCTCAGGGTATTCTCTCTGCCAAACACTGCACACTGCAGCACAGCCTAGCAGGGAAGATCACAGCAATGTATTTTAAGGTTGTTGCACACACAGAAAAACACAGACAGCAACTGTTATCAGCCCTCTGTAGATCCAAATGTCAGTTCTATCTTTAATTAGGCATTTGCATCCTTCTCTCCCAGGATCTGTGCCTCACTAAGTGCTGGACAGTGTGAGAACTGGGCATGTGTGGCACAGCTCTCCCCTCCAGCCATGCCCTGCTCTCTCTGGCCATCAGTGGGGTTTTGCCATCTCTTTTGGCTGAGGATTGAGTCCCTGGCAGTCCGGGTTTGCTCCCAGATGTTGAGAGTTCTTTTCCTAGAGAATGGATGCACCACACACATCATCCTCAGCTCTCCTTCCCCTCTAACCTGAGGGCACCCGGGAAGGAGCCAGCACTGAAGGGAAAAGATGAGAAGAGAGGTCAGACCTGGCCTGGAGCTGACAAAAGCCTGCCAAGTGGCCTGAGGGTGGAGGGGCAGGGGAGAAGAAGGGGAAGTTTAACAAATCTTCACAGTCTCCTGGGGAGAGACAAGGAATCCCTGCTGGAAAGTTGCTCTACCTGCTCTGGCATCCACTGTACCAGGGCCTGCAGCTGGAAAGGTGGAGCTTGTTGAAGAAAGCCAAAGTGTCCTGCTGCTGACTCTTGCAGCTATTCACAGACAGCCCTCTGAGGGTGCCAGAGGTTCCAAACACCTCTTCTGGCTGAGAACACTCAAATTCTGCCAGAGCACGGGCAGCCATGCTCACTTCTCAAGCCTTATTCCAGATTATTATCATGGAAGAACAGACAGTCAGAAAAGCTGCTGCTTAGGAGGTGACTTCTGAATGACTTTTACACCTTTCTCCTGCCCTTCAGTGCAAAGAAAGCTGATTTCAAATTGATACAAATATATCAAATAAAAACCCATACCCTTAGAACTCCAGCAGCTCACTGCAAGCACAGGTATCAGAGAAGAGAATGAATATAGCACCGAGCTGAGCAGCTGAGAGCTGACAGCAGGTGACAGCGAATGGCACAAGGAACACTGCACAGCCACACACATCCCTGCCTCAGTCACAGAGCCCTGAGTCGGCACAACAAAGCAGGGAGAGCATCTCTGGACACAGGGCTGAGTGCACCTTAACGGGTAATTCCTGCACAGAGCACAGCCCAGCCTGCAGGGTCCCTTAACCTGGGCCCTGGCAGTGATTTTATTCCCTCTGGCTATTTTGCTCCAAGCAGTAATCGATTAAAAGCATTTTTACTCACTACACTCATTTCCTCCAGCTCCCCCAACATCCACATCAATTCACTCCAGTGAAAAGATGTTTGAAACTCTGTTCTACAGAGAAATTTAATTTAAAATAAAGGAGGAAAGATTCTACAATGATGCCTTCATAACTATATTCTTCTTAAGTTTGTCTCTTCCAGAAAAGCTAGCTTTTCTCTCTTTAAATTAATTACAAGCATATTTCTGAAACATAATCATTACCAGACACTGGATTTATGTTTATGCCATACTCAAACAATCCACTGCCAGCTGGACGTTTTCATGTATATTTCTGAAAATTTTCTTTAAATCTTTTCTTCCTGCAGTTCATCACTTTCATGAAAATTACTTCAAACAGCCTTTCTCCAACTGACAAACTGCAACAGCTGCATCCAAAGAATATTTTAAGATATTAAAGTACATCAGTCCCCTTGTACATCCAGGACTGCTGGGAAACTGATACTGATTGGTTTCATATTAAATGTTCAGCCTAAGCAGAAAAATAATGTTATTTACTGCTGCAAGTCCCCCAGGAATTCTGCACACTGTGACCAAGACTGCACTTTTCATGAGTGCTTTTTGCACACATTACAGATTCTGCTAATGAATCATTGGAAAAAGTATTAAACCAAAGCATGGAACAGCTCTGGAATGTGCACATCTGACAGGAACAAATTCCTGGAGATCAGTCACTCATATACAATCAATACATTCATGTCATTCATTCCAGTTCAAAACGTATTGGGAGTTATTCTTTTTCCACGAGCAGGACAAACTGCTGGTCTGAGCTGTTAAAAATTTCAGTTTCCCTCCCTAAGAAATGCCAAACCTGGTACTGAATCAGGCTGGAAAGTTCACTTGCTACAAAACTGAACTCCCACTCCAGAGTTTAGGTACTTTGTCCTTTCTTTTTTCTGGAACAAACACCCAAAGCTTTTAAAAACATGTCGAAGCAGTTCCCCCTGCCAACACACACACGTGCTGCCATTTTTATCCACACAAATTCATGGAATTTCGTGTTTCATGGAATACACCTACAAAGAACAGCACAGAACAAAGTCCAGAATCCATTTCAAACTGAATACTTTTGTCAGTAAATATAAGCTTGAAAGGCTGCTTAGAAGCAAAGTTTTCATCTCTGACACTAAAAGATCAATGATTCATTTAACTGTGGCTTTTTCTTCTCCCAAACAGTAATTAACTGATCTAATATTGCTTGGGTGACCAACTAGCAGGGGGAAAACCAAAAATTCAAACCAGACAAACCTCTCTTGTGATCTATAGCAGCATTTTTTAAAAGTAGCTTTTCAGAGCAGCAGAGGATAAATACAGACCCATTCCTATATTAATAAATAAAGCTGGGATCTATGGAAATATGAATACAGGGCATGAGTTGGGACCAGTGTAACAACCTAGGCAGATCCCTCTTATATCTACAAGGCTGGTGCTTTTCATGTGTCCTTCATTTTAAGAGATCAATGTCAAAAAACAAACTCCTCCCTAAGACAACTGACAAAAATTAAAAATTAACAGAAGGAAATGTCAGCGTTCAGGGGAAAAAAAAACAAACAACAAAAAACAACTGAAACACATGCAATTTTTGCCTTTGTTTTTCTGATCTTGAAAGTAATCTTTCCTGCTCTTTCTTTATTCATCAGAAGTATTCTGGTTTTAGTCACTACTTCAGCCTTCAGGAAAAAAATAACATTGGTTTTCCAACAAGTGTGCCCTACAAATAAGTAATACAACTCTCAACCTGCTTTCAGACTTACTCATTTGCAAGATTATTATCTTTTTATATTTAAAAGCTGCTGTCAGATTAAAACTCTGGCTAGTAAGCACAACCCAAGTCAGACTCCCTGGCTGCAGCAGGCTGTACTTTGGGCTCTGCTGAGCACGAATTTGTCACCAAAACAATCTGCACCTTTGGCCACCCTGTGCCTGCTCTCTGTTGGTTGTAACAGCTCCAGGCTACATTTCCCAGCCAGTTCCCAGGAAGATCTGTTTGGTTTGTCCTTTCCACACACATCATTCCCATGTCAGACACCCATTTCTTTCCACATGGTATTTCTATGAAATTCCAATGTAGATCTCTGAGTTGCCCTACAAAACCACAAATCCTACATTAGAGAAACAGGAGCACGAACACCCTGAATCTAAAAGAGGGATGCAGAATCCAAAACTTTGCCTTTCTCAAAGCAAAAAACCAATCCCAGGTAAAAAGAAAAACATAGCAGGTGTTTCTAATCAGTCAATGTTTTAAAACTGGATTTACAATTGCAGAGTTTATACAGATTCACAAACAAGTTTATGGAATTGCTATTGAAACAGTAGAAAAAGGAAAAGCAAGCAAGGAAAGTGCTCATACATTTTGTACAAGTTTTGCTTACAAAGCACCAGAACTCTGCCATGGAATAAAACTTCCACATTTCTTTAGTATAATATTTCATAATTTTTAATCTAATGTGCTCTTAACATTATGAACACTATTAAAGCTGAAGTGATATTTAAAACGTGCTCTTTTTCAATTCAGTAAACTCAAACTATTAAAAAAAAGGCACTGAACACTGCTTTTGACAGCTGATTTTATCAGAATCATGTTATATGCCAGTCCTGTCTCTCAGAGTTCTTGTTTCTGTGCCATAATGTTAAATTCTTCTCAGGAGAATCCTTCAAAGGAGGATTTACAGGGAGAAATCTTTAATGTGGGCCTTGCACTGCAGACAGAAGGGGGACTACAAGTGTTTTGTCTTTCTTTACTTGGTCAAAACACTCTGGACAAGCCTTTTTCCCCCCCAGATCTCTCAATCAAGTGCACATACCTTCCCAGCCATGTGCCTATTTGCATTCTGCACTTGCTCATGCCCCAATTGTTCCCAATCTGAAAGCCCCAAACTGTGTTTGCAGTCTCCTGGAACTCATCCACTTTACAGCAAGGATGAAAAAAGTTACTCAAATGTCAGCAATCCACCAAATGCCCTTCCCACACGAGTTCTCAAGGAATAAACAAAAAAGTGACTGAGAAGCTGAGCACAAAGAATGCCGGGCTCTGTCCTCCCTCGGTGGCGTGTAGGAAATGCAGCAACACTGAGGACAGCAGCACTGAGAACAGCCCAGATGCAGAGCTCTGAGGGAAGGAACAGCCTGAGGATTATGAGAGAAGCTGCTGGGAGCTGTGCTCATGTCTCACTGCACAGAGAGCCTGCACGGGGCTGTTCAGCAGCACTGCAGAGCACCAGGCAATGCTCAATTATCTGTATATCCCGACAGGATGCACTGCCCCAGAGCCAGGTGTTCCCTGCTTCACCCAGGGCACCTTCCAGCCATTAAACTGATTTGCTGAGGTGTGGGCTCTGTGCCAGCCTGCAGTGCCACGTGGACATCAATAATGGCATTCCAAGAGCCTGGAAACACGGTCCAGACGGGCAGAGGGCAGGGCCCAGAGAGCACGGCCTTGAGAGATCTCCTGCAGGAGATAAAACCAAGGATTCTCCCTGGGATTTTATAACAAAAGGCACCTGGGCATAAATAGCTGGATATATCCTTCCACAATGTAATGCCTGGACAGCTGTAACAGCTTTATTTTCTTGGTTTGTATGCACCTGTATTTGCCGAGAAACCTGAATAAAATTGCAAATAAAAACGGAATGTACTTTAAAATTTAAGACTGTATACAACAAACAATACTTAAGACTATGTCAAACATTTACTGTCCTGAGAGCCTCCAAAAGAAGTTATGATCCATTTTAACATTATCTTATTAAATATACCCATGAAATTACAGTTCTGGTTTGGGTGGGTTTTTATTTATTTAACAAAGTGCCCTACCAGCCTTTTTGTTTCAGAGATAGAGTTTGAAGATAATGTCACAGACACGATTTACATTAGGTCTGGGTTATTCCCAGCAGACCTGCAGTTCTGTGGAAAGGCAAATGCTGTTTGGAGAAGACAGGCAAATATCAAGAGCTGGAGTTCTAAACTGAGGAAGGGCTTTTCCCCTGCAAAGTAAATACCCAGGGAGACTGACTCAAGTAAGAGCTTAAGTTAAATACACACTTCTGATAAAGCAAATCCTGTAACTACTGTAGTTCCATATGGATTCTGTGGCATTTTTCAAAAAGCAAAAAGTGGATTTTAGCAGCAGTGCAAGAATACAAGCACAGAGCTGGCCTGAGCTGAGTTTCCCCTCCTGAAGAAAAGGTCCAGGCATCCCCAAAGAATGGGGCAGGAGAAGGAGGAAGGGAAAGACAACAAGAGAAAAGTTATTTATACCTTTAGTTTTCCTTTCAGCAAATGAAGTCCTATGACAAAAGGATGAAGCACATCATCTGTGGAAGACAAAAAACCAGAAGATATTTACATTTTAATAGACAAACATATACATGCACTACATACCAAATAAATAACAAAAAAATTACATCAGTGATAAATTATCATCCCTCTACTTTCAGAGTTTTCAGGGTCTTGCAGCCTTTCATTATTTTATGCAGCATTTCAGTGTAAGGAGACACAGAGTGCACAGCACCCAAACATTACCCAGCTCAACAGCATCTCATTCTTATTCCAGAACATCAGAAACATCTTTGAGCTAAAAACTCACTGAAGCAAAAATTAAATAGGAGTTCAATACTCTTTTCTCACACGTCAGTTCCTCACTCAGACAAACACCTTGCTGACTCACAAATGTTGACAAATCTTGGACCCAAAACAAACAAACAAGCAGCCAAGCCACTGAAGGCTCTCTGTATCTTGCATAAAAGCACCAACTGTAAGAGGGAGAACTCAGAGGGAAGCTGAAGAAATCTTGATGGGATCATCCCCCACACAAAGCTTTCTCTCCTCCAGACCAAGAAGTCTCAGCTTCCTCATATCTTTTATAAGAAATGCAAGAAAAAAGTCAAGAAGAGATCTTATATTGCCAGCTCACTTTTGGTTAGAGGTATCCTGAGGTATTCTGGACAGAGCACACGGGGAAAAATTAAAATGAATAAATAAAAAGAAGCTGCAATGATTTTACCAAGAGAGCAAACTCTCAAAGATTAACAAGAAACCAGATGAATGCTTTGGGACCTCCACCTTGAGCCATTTTCAGTCATTTTAAAAGTAAAACCTACTGATGGTCTGAACTGTGAATTCACCCTGCTTAGACCTAGCACACCTGTCTCCAACAAACAAGAAGGAATGTGGCATTTATAATACTGTAAATATGCCTTCCATCATGGAAAAAGATAAGCAGGCAGACTGGGGAGAAGGAAGGAATTCTGGTTTTCTCACACCAGAGGAAAAGGTGAGATCTTTAGTTATAACCAAATACAAGAGACGACAATGAGTCACCAAGATGGATAGTGTTACATGAAAAAACGGAGAGAAAACTGATGGGGAACTTTCATTTACAGAATGAAAACTCAAGGCATTTTTACAGTAAAATCAGCAAGAAGAAAAAGAAATCTCGTGCATAAATCAAAAAGAGACAGCACAGCATAAAAGAAGTGTGATGGGCTGAAGCAGCAGGTGCACTATTTCTATCTGCCACCAAAGCAATAGCTGTAAGGCAGGAAAAATGACTTCTTTTTCTTCACAGATAAAGAGACACATGACAAAAAAAAATCAGTAAGAACATCTGCTAGCAGAACTGGCAACAATGAGAGTTTAAGAAATAAAAGAGTTGCCAAAAAGCCCAGCTGTTATTGCAGATGTGAGACTCGATTAAACCTGACTAGAATTGTTCACCTAAGACAATGGCAGAGCCAAGGGAGAAGAAAATCCCCGTGTCCTGGAGGAGTTTCCTGCTCGCAGGGCTTCCAGCTGAGATGCTCTGAGGAGCAGGAGAAGGAGCAAGGCCAGCAGGGGCCTGTAAGGGGAATGCTGAATTCACACAAATTCATCACTCACCACGCTTCAGTGTCAAAGCACTGCTTTGGAAAGCTCCTGCTCCAAACCTACTCCTAAATGCACAAAGAACCAGGACAAAAGCTTGAGGTTTGGGTTTCAGTGCTGTCAATCACTTCTGAACTACAGATGCTGATGGTTTTAGAAAATACACCCTTTATTTGAGATAATGTATCACAAATGTCAGACATTTCAGCAGTCACACATCTCTGTGAGATACCTGTGCCACTGAACCCCCCTGTGTCACTGTCAGGCCATTCTTGCTGTTTGCTCCAGTTTCCACTACAAATACCTGGGTAGATACAGCATTTTGTCACTGCAAGTGCTTTGGCAGATAATTTACTCCCAGAAAAAAATATTAATTTTCTATAGTGTGTAGGAATACAAAATAAAATTTAGTCAACATCAGCCTGGCCTTTTAGAAATTAGGACAAAACCTCATCCTCCATTTATTCCTGGACTACACTGTTAATCCTCATCTATAAAACACACATTGCCTATTTAAAGTCTCCACATGAGAAAGTGAGAAAGACAAAATAATCAATACACAAATGAACCCAAAAATTTAAAAAACAAAACCTCTGCCAGACATCAAATATGCAACCAAAAGTGAAAGAATCTCTTGTAGTCACAGCCACAGCATTATTTGTGCTGACAGAAGAAAAAACATTTTTTCAGTGTAAGTCACTTTCAATGTCAATCTGCCCAGTTTTATTGAAAGTTTTCTCCAGTGCATACAGCACTTTGTAAAAGAAAATTATTCCAGGTACTGTCCTGTAATTCAACATCACAAGGGCGGATCTTACTGGAATAGGTAAAAATAGCAGCAGGGAACATGCCAAAGAACAGTCTTTCCACTGCAGGGGCAGTGCTTACATTGCAGCATCAGCTGGCTCTCCTTTTATAACCTCCCCACTGCCAGCAGGGAGTTACACAGGCAGCTTAAAAGGCTGGAGAAATCCAAGAGTAAGCTCTGCCCTGTTTCTGAGCTGAAATCAATGCCCTGCATCACTGTGACCCCACGCCTCTGCTGCAGCACTGTTATTGCCTGGCTAAGCTTTCGACCTGCTCCAAAGTGCTCAGCACAGAGGGATGATGTCACTCAGAATTCAGCGGATTTCTTGTCAAATGTCAGCATAAAATTAGAGGCTTGCACACTTTGTTGCTCCTTTTGGCTGCAGCACACTGGAAGCTCCTTCATTTACTCCATTCTCTGCCAACCACACGATCCATCCTCTAAAGAATTCCTTTTATCCCATTTCTGCAGGCCAACCAGTCTGAAACAACCCCTCCCCAGCACTGAACTCAAAATGAGGTTTTTTTCCATGTTTCTACATAAAGATAAGAACCATTCCAAGCTGAGCATTCAAAGTGTGAGCCCAGTGATCAAACACAGGCAGAAATGTGGTTTTACCAGCAGAGACTCTGCTCCATAGCCAGCAGCTTGGCTTGCAGGTGACCAAAAGTGCTTAGCTTTCTAATTAGGCACCAGGGAAAGCTGCACCCTCCCATCTCAACACCACAAACAGGTTCCTGCCTGCTCATCCTCCAGATCGGGATTGATTGGACACAGCCTCCCAAAGTCACTGGGGCAGATGGGGAGGGAAAGAAACCTTGGGAAAAGCAGGGACTCACTGAGCTGGCACAGGTGCTCTCACACTTTTCTGCCTCCATCTAAGAAAAAGTGACTGATCATCAACATATTTACTTCTCCTTAAACCTGCAAGTCCTGGAATAATCAGACATGCTCATTATTTGCACACAGTGGCCCCAGTACTGTGTGTTTATTTTAAAAACTAAGCATCAGTCTCATGCAAGTTCAAGAGTTCAGACATACTTTTAATGCATGAATTTCATAACTCAAGTTTCACCAAAAAAACCCCAAACGCATCAAATTATAATAGAAATACACAAGAACCGAAAAAATATTTTAATGGGGTTATGCAATACACTAGACCTGAAGGAATTCAATTTCTATCAGAAATCATCAAAATAAGGAAAATATTAACTCAACAGTAGTCTTGGAATTAACAATTACTAGATAAGTTCTGAACTTCAGGAATTGAAAAAAAAAAAAAAAGGTCTTCTTGACTGTGAAGGTGGAGTCACATCCTGTGCCATAAATATGAGCAAGTTTCAGAGAAACTTTAGAACAAAGTTTCTAAAGTGAAGTTTAAACAACCCCAAGTTCCCATGTATCAAAATATACCTTTCCAAGTGAAAGCTGCAGAGGTAATTACAGACACTCTTAACTCCACATTAAGTGGAATTAAAATCCACTTTACTTTCTCTTTTACAAGAAACTTTTAATAGTGTACTTTCTATTGTAATGATTTGGAAACAATATAAATAGCATTTTTTTGGTAGCAATAAATTAGGAATTAAAAAAAAAATTAAAGTGTGATTAACCAGTATTTTTTCTTTGCCAACACTTCCAGTCTAATGGTCCCCCTACATCTGCTCTGCTTTACAGGATTCTCCCTGTGTGTTCCTACATTTCTGCAACAATTCCATGCAAACAAAAGGGAGCACACACACATCTTCACCTGCCTCACCTTCAGTTTCACCAAAAAATTCTTATGTATGATCTCACATTTCTTATACACAAAGAAAATCTGAATAAAGGAAAAAGAATGATAATTTAGTCATCTCTGCCACAGGTAGCAAGTGAGTAAAGAGAGCAGTGCCTTTTGTGGTGTGCCAATAGACTGAAAAACCACTATAAAATACTGGAAGTATGACCAGACTTTGAGCAAACACTTTTAAATGGCTGAGAACAAGAAAGAGGAATATGCAAAAGCCAGCACAAATTACTGCTAGAGCTGACAGGGACTGGAAGCGAACTAAAAGACATTACAGAAGAAGAAAAAGGGAAATTGGTCATATGTTAAAATATTTCAATATATTAACTTACATGTTTTCCCCTACAAAAGCATTAGAGACATCTTTCTTCTAGTTCTGCACTATCCTGCATCTCCCTCTCGGTAATCTCTCAGCTCAGTGCTCCAAAAATCGTCACTTTCAGAACTCCAGCTTGTTCTACAGCGAAAAAATTTATGTAACAGAAGACTATAATGGGGGCTCCGAGCCATTTCTTAAAGCCTGAACCTCTGAGCCAGCTTTAATTAATCTGGTTAACCCCATGCCACACCCAGCTGCGAGTTAGGGAAGCAACCTCCCCGTGCCTGCGAACTAAAAATACCCCAATGGCTCAAGTGCTGCAGGACCCTACGTGTGTCCATCGGAATCCCCATTAATTAACGCCTTTGTCAGCTGCTCCTCACCCTGCAGCGACGGAGGGGCAAAGCAATGGCAGGTACAGCCCGGGGGGCCAGGCTCAGATGGAGCAGAGAGGGAAAACAGCAGAACGTAGCAATCTGCACCATCTGCAGAGCCACCACAGCGCGACAGCCTGAGCGACACCACAGGGGCTCAGAGAGGCAGGAGCTGCAGAACCCAGGGTCCCACCTGCAGAGACAGGGTCCCACCCGCACAGCTCAGACAGAGCCCAGCACACACGGCACAGGCACAGGCGCTCTCACACAGGCACAGGTGACTTGCCAGGCGATTCTGCAGCTCTGTAGCCTCAAGTGGAAGAGCTCTGATTGAGCTGTGCTGCTGCTCTGCTGCTGCATCCAGGATGAAATGGCAGAGCTGCCACACCTGCACCTGCAAACAAACCCTGCGCTGGCCACCCTGCTATGCACGCAATTCCAGAGTTCTGCTCTTTAAGTCTCCCACTCCCCAGGAACAAGCAAAATACACAATCCAGTCACATGGACTACATCACTTCAAAGCCTGACAATAAGGATACTTGTGTAAACATGCTATTTATTAATTATCAGTTCTAATTCCTAGCTCTGAAAATGCTTCTCATTTACAAATGACTCCAGACCAGCACTTTGTTTATCCTCATGTGCTGTGTGCACTGCAACATTTCAGTACACAAGATGACCATATTCTATTAAACTGTAAAAGGTCAGTACACACTGCTGCAATAAAATCAACTTTGTGTAAAACAGATGACATTTATAGTACAAACACAATATTCAAGTCACTAAAGGAATAAACGTGCGCCAGCTGCTTTTCAAAGCAAAAGCGTTGTTTACAAAAAAACAGCGCACGCAGCAAGAGCCAGCAGAGCTCGGAGAATTGTTCACAGAACTTGGGCCAAAAGAGACTTTCTTTTCAGAAAAACTAAGAACATCACAAAACATGGGTTACCCATACAGAATAAATGGTATCTACCTCATGCTGTCTCAAAAGCCATGAGCTTACACATGCTCATTGCTAAAATACCTTGTTAATCTGTCATAAAGTTAGAATTTTTAGCCAAGTCTCTACTGTTACATCAACTCCTCTTTCAATTAATTTGTAGAGCTGACCAAATGTTTCCAAAACCTTATTCAATACACAGTGGATAGATTTAATACCAGAAAATGCCAAAGGGTTTTGCATAAGCAATTACACAAAATGAAAATCAGTACAATGTAGATGTAAACATATCTGTTTCCAAATTAAACTTGTGTGAAACTTATGAAATCATGCTTCAATCACAGTGCTTGAAATTTGGTAAATCACAAGTTTTCATCTTGTTTTGATGACTTTTGTTGCTTCCCCAAATAAAGATCACTTTAACTTATGCAATTTGATGGTTTTATTAGAAATAGAACACTAAATACTATTTTTCATTAGACACTCTTTAGATTTCTGTGGTTCTAATTTAGAAGATGGTCCAGGAACTTATTTCTTACAACACAATCATCCTTTTCAATCATTCATTTGCACAGAGTGGCCAAACATGCATTATCTTCCTGAACTGCTGTGGAAGTTTTGGAAATGCAGCTGCACAAATCCCATTATCCTCATTCCCCTGGGCAACTGGTGGTAGGTGATTGTGGCACCCAACTGTTCTCCAGCAGTTCCGGGGAAATTCTCAATTTTGAAGTTAGGCAGAGGCACAAAGAACGGGACATAGAAATATGAAGCCAAAGTACGGGCTCTCCATCAGCCAGGGCAGCACATCCCCAGTGAGGAGCCAAATCCAAGGAAATCCCTCCCTGGTGCCCAGCTGGCAGCCCAGGGAGGCAGGACAAGAACCCTGCCAACAGGGAAGGGGAGGAGAAAAACATCTGGGGGGGCTGAAGAAGAGAAGAGGCAGAGGGGTGCTGCAAAGGGAAGGACTCTGGCAGCACAGGAAAGGACACACTGTGTGCAGAGAGAACCAAATACCAACCTGCACTCAACTGGCCAAGTTCATTTGCTCTACTAACTTAATTAGCAATATAAAAACAATTTAAGCACCCTGTATCCAGAACAACAAGTCAACTCCTGCACTGAATCTTGACTGAAGGCTCCTTTATATAAAATAATTCAACCTAACAGCTTTTGGTTCCCATCTCCTACAGGAGCTTGGAAACCAACAGCTCTGAATTTCATGTTTTCCAACAAGGAAAACTTGGTTTTCTTCTCAACTCCTGGTTTTCCAATAGTACAAAGAGCCAGATAAATAATCTGGGGGGAGGAGGGGAGTAGATGTCCCAGAAGAAATTACTGCTGATGTAGCGTACCAAGAAGTGCTGACCAATGATTTCCATGGGTCATGTTTGTGGTTTAGAAAAGGAGTTATTTTAATAAGATGTAGTAAGTTCAGGCCCTGAGACAGCAGTGACTTCATACGTAATTTGAACAGAATGCATGGTCGGTTAAGAATAAAAAATGGAAAAGGAATTAAACTGAAAAAAAAATAAGGTTTAGATCTTCTTTGGAAAAAAATAGGCATTTTTTTCTGCCACTTCCAGCTTCTCCTTCAAGGCACATTAATCAGCAGCATTGCACAGAAAGTTGTCCAGTCCTGAAGATATTAAGAACAGCAACAAACCATATGAAAAACATATTCCAGGTCTCTGAAAGCATCGCTGCCCCAACCCAACGATACTACTTCACTTCTGATTTAATAACTCAAGATTAAATTGCTTACTACATTAATCAGTCACCATATTCATTTCATGAGCACAGACAGAGATCTCTACGTCTTTCATGATTAATTGCAGCCTTAGGGCTTGCCTGCAGAAAATTCTCATTAAGACAAACCAAACTAAAGCCACTTCCATTCTGAGTGGGTGTCCCCAGAAGAGATTTAAGTGAATTGCCTGGAATTAACTCTCACATTCATCAGCTCAATCTCTCCTTGTGCACCAACACTGCAGGCACCTCCTGAAGAATAAGCATGCCCATTCCAACAATATCCCAGTTTGGCACAATGCAGTGATCCTTCAGGCAATAGCTGGAGCTAAGGTTTTCAGAAGCATTAAAATAAAAAACATCTTCAGATATTTTAAGCTGGTTTCAGTTTTGCAAAGATTCTGAGTTTTACGCCACTGTAGATCCTGGTTCTGCACACCTACAACCTGCAGCTGGAACACAAAGTGTGCTGCAGCAATCCCACTGCGACTGGCTCTGCAGTCTCACTGGCTCAGCTGAAGTCCCTGCATTTATGGATGTCACCTCAAGGCTAAGAGGGAAAACAACTCTAACAAGTCATCTGGCCTGTCACAGGTGAGATGAACAACAGACAGCAGTGGGACAGGCAGGTTACTGGTGTGTGCAGTCAGGCTGAAGATAAAGAGGCACGAAACAAGACAGGGCTGGAGCCCGGGCTCTGCAGGAGCACCACTGCTACACGGCAAGGCTGAACAGCTGGGCATGAAACAATCTTACTCCTGTTTGCAAGTGTCTAACGGATTTTAAGTTGCAAAAAATAAGCGAGCAAGTCATTCAAACAGAAGAATGCCACAGCAGAAAGAATTCAGTTGTGCTGATACACCTAAAGACATTTTCTACTCCCAGCTCAGCAGGATCACAGTAACGGGTCAGACAGCCCCGCTGGAAGCGCAGGAGGGACAAAGCTACAGCATCACAGCAGGGACCCGAGGAGACCGGGCCAGCACAGCCCGGCTGTGGGCAGGACACGGCTCCAGCTATGCGGGATGCTCATCCTCCCTGCACAGAACACCGCTCCAGCTATGCGGGATGCCCGCTGCTCACCCTCCCTGCACAGGGCACGGCTCCAGGGCTGCGGGATGCCCGCTGCTCACCCTCCCTGCACAGGGCACGGCTCCAGGGCTGCGGGATGCCCGCTGCTCACCCTCCCTGCACAGGGCACGGCTCCAGGGCTGCGGGATGCCCGCTGCTCACCCTCCCTGCACAGGGCACGGCTCCAGGGCTGCGGGATGCCCCCCCCGGGCGGAGCGGGCCCACCCGCACGGCTCCCCGCTGCGCTGACAGGCGGCGGCCACGACCCAGCCCCGCTCCCCCCGACCCCCGGGCACTCTCGGCACCGATCCCCCCGGCCCGGCCCAGGCAATA